CCCACCCTGTACAAGTGATTATTCGGCTGATAACGTGTATGGTATGCTTCGCGTCAACAAAAAGGTTCCAGGAGTAATGAAAGATGAAAATAATGGTATGATACTGACTGAATTCGTCAGACTTAGAGCAAAAATGTACGCATTAAAGGTAGACGGAAAGAGAGACACAAAAAAAGCCAAAGGTGTAAAAAGTAACGTCGTAGCAAGAACATTAACGTTTGACAAACAATGTTTGAACGATGAAATCGAAAAGGTGCGTCGACAGTCGTGTATACGATCAAAGCTACACGAAGTATACACTGTGTCCGTATCGAAACTTGCTCTAAGTCCATACGACGATAAGCGATTTATGGTACCCGATTCTACCGAAACGTTACCATAGGGACATTACAAAGTACCACAAGAAAATAGTGTATAATATAGAGTATATGTATATTGTCAATTAATATGTGTAATAATAATTATGTATATATGTTGTAAGTTATATTGTAGGTTTTATACATATAAATTCTGTATATAGTGTGTTTACAATACACTGGTTTTATCTATCTAAGAGTTGTATGACTTGTCTAACCTTAGCTACTTCACATAAACCTTTTTTGCGCAATACTTTTTCAACGAGATAAACTTCTGAATTTGCAACGCAATGCAGTTCNTATTTGTAGAATCCTCCAGCAACAGATTGTCCACGTGAATCCTCAAGCAGATACGTCACAGGATAGGTCGTTTGTATTTTATTGATTTTAAATACTTTGATCGTCCAATTTAGTGTATATCCTTTATCGAATACTGTTTTAAATTTNCTCACGCGTACTAGATCACCTACTTTAAGTCGTGCTGGCCCTGCAATTTTGACATTGCTGTACACTGTGGATAAGAGCTTATCGGCGATTGCGGGGGTAACATCGATAGGTCGCATACCGATAGTTTGATGTTTTCATGCGTTGTACTCGATTTTTCGATCGTTTAGCGTCATATTACGCGGTATACCCCTCTCCTGCTTAGTACGCACACTAGATACTAAAGACGCAATTATGTATCTATATTTATATNNTTTGTTACCCAGTATTGCGCCGAGCTGGTTACGATGTTTTCTATGAGCACTTGTCATTTCCAATATTGTTTTGTATCGTTGTTTATCTTTTTCAGTATATAACTCATTCCTAGGACATTTCATGAAAATCAGTTCGTACACTCCTTGTGTTGCTTTGAATCGTAAACCATCTACGATTATATTATCTTGTTCATCNACGTGAAAATGTTTATCACCAAGCATCATTCCATCGTTGTCGAAATACACCATATATACATAGTCATGTCGTTCTTTTTCTAACCACTCAGAATAGCTTTCATATATTGTTGCGCCAACGGTCCAAAGTGACTTTGAAACGTTTCAAGACCCTCCAACGTTTGCATTTGACGTTGAATAGTCGACTCAAACGACTTGTTGGCAGTAGCATCAGTAGCGACGATAGTATCAACCGATAGAGTATCCCATGTCAATTGTCGTTTGGTTCGTTTTTTCGTTGGAGTAGAAGTCACCATTGCAGTGTTATATCGTGCGCGTTTTGAATTGAGCAGAGTAGGGGACAATG